CCGAGCGCTGGCGAGTGCGAGCCACGAGCGAACAGAAGCGCGTGATCCCCGCCCCAAGCGTCGCATCGGCCGCAGGCCGGCCTCTGGGGTGACTTTGTTCGTTACCGGGCAGCAGGGCTGGGCCTGAGCGCCGCTCTGCTGGACTTCGGCTGTGTCTTGTTTTTCGTCTTGGCAGGGAGGTACAGGAAAGCATGTAGAGCAAAACGAACAACAGAGCGAACACAACACTTAAAACAGGTCCAGCCCTGCCTGGCAGATCGTGTTCTTACGGACAGACGGGGAAGAGTCGAAATTACACGGTTTGCGTTCAGTTCAGCCTCCCACTGAGGACGGGAACATGACCGCGAAACTATGTTCGCAAGCGCCACGGCGCACGGTATAGTAGGCATTATTCGGGGCAGGTTCGCGAGCGTGAGACGTTGAACAAGCTTTGCGCACTCTTCTTCGTAAGAAGACCGGCAGACCTAGTGTTCATCTGTGTGGCGCTCCCATCCCAATGCAGCGGACGGCTAATGTCACGCGTCGTTCTTCCATTCTGAACCGCTTGTAAGGAGGAGACGCGCGCTACGAGGACCCAGCTCAACGAGGACCCAACTCAACGCAGCTCAGCGAGGACCCAGCTCAACGAGGACCCAGCTCAACGAGGACCCAATTCAACGAGGACCCAATTCAATCAGGACCCAGCTCAACGAGGACCCAATAAATTCAAAAGCGAGTGCCCAGCTCAACAAGGACCCAGTTCAACCCAGGAAGGCAGGGGCGGAAGGGGGCAGCCAGAGTGGCGCACAGGGACCCGAGAGGAGGGGGAGGAGGCAAGCAGGCGATCGCGGGCATGGATCAAGGGGCCGTGGATCAGCGACGGGCCCCGCCGGTCCATGGATTTGGCGACCGCGCGCGAAATCCATGGATCGCCAATCCATGTCTGCACGCCCCCGGGGAAGGGAAGGAGGAGACGCGCGCGCGGATGGCTCAGCGCAAGGACCCAGCTCAACGCAGGGAGGCTGGGGAGAACCCTGGAACCCTGTAGGTCCACCCCATACCCCGCAAACTACCCAGACCACTGCAGATCCTCCTCCCTCCTCCTACAGTCAAGACGCTGAAGTAAGGATCGCTTTGGGTCCGGAAGGGGCTCGCTGTTCCTGGGGTCATTCCGTGGCTGTTCCTCTCGCCCTCCTCGTGCACGCAGGCGCTCTTGGGGCCCAAACGGGGTTTCGTTCCTTATTTAGCGCTCCCGCTTGCAGCAGCTCAACTGCATATGGCTCCTACTTCGGATGTGGCTAGGACGGGGATAAATCCGTTCAAGAGCGTTCCAGAGCGCTCTCAAAGCGTTCCGGAACGCTCTGAGAAGGCCACGGCGCCCGATACATCATCCAGACCCGGAAGATCTCAGAGATTCTTGGTTTATCTTCGCCCGAGTTCATCTTCGTCCTGGCTTCGTTTTAACGCAGGCGCTTTGGGGGCCTAAAAAGGGCTTCGTTCCTTATCTAGCGGTCCTTCTTGCAGCAGCCCGATTTCGGGTTTCTCAGATCCCAATTTGCCTCGAGCGCCTTCCTACTTCAAGAGTTGACGTGCTTTTGCTGTCTTCTGTTATCCCCTGGGAGGGCCTGAACCCGATCTACTGTACCCGCCTTCCTGCTTCATGCTTTTGCCTATTGCTTCCGACCGAAGCGTATTCAGCGCTCTTCCTTGCAGCAGCCCGCCTGCACAGGGGGGGCGCTCGTTCAGGAAGGTGCCCGGGGGGCTTCGGGCCCTGGAGGATTCCTGATACGATGAGGTCGGCGGTGGTACCCATGGCCAGTCCACGATTGGTGTTCCGCCAGCTTCCAGACCCTGGATTCCTTAGCCGATGGTTCCCCATTCCTTCGCCGATGGCTCCCCAGCAGGCTCCCTCCTCGCCCTCGCCCCCATCCCCGTCCCACCCCGGCTCGGCGGCCGGAGCCTCGGGGGCGCCGAGGCCGACGCGGAGGCGAGGAAATGGATCGCGCAGAAGGCCTCGCTGCAGGGGGGAGGGGGAGGAGGAGGAGGAGGAGGAGGAGGAGGAGGAGGAGGAGGAGGAGGAGGAGGAGGGGAGGAGGAGGAGGAGGAGGAGGAGGAGGGGCGGGCAGGAGAAGAAGGATGGAGGGTTTTTAGGTTCTGCTCGGGGGCGAGCCTGGGGGCTGCGGGCAAGATGTATATCTCTGGTGCGGCAAGGGGGGGGATGACTAGGATGGAGGCTGTTTAAGTTTGCTCGGGGGCGAGCCCGGGGGCTGCGGGCAAGACATATATGAATATATATATATTTATATATATACACATACATATATACATATATATATATATATATGTATATATACATATATATGTATATGTATATGTATATGTATATGTATATGTATATATATATGTATATATAAAGCAAGACTGCATTAGCGCTGCGCGCCTTGCGCCTTGGTCCTTTAGAGTTTCGCACGTTAGCGGAGTGCGTGCGCGCGTACATGCGCACACGCGCATGCGCCTATGGAAACATACTACATTTGTACACATACATATACGTATGTATGGGTATGCACGTGTAGATGCAAATGGTATGTGTAACTATGTGTTCGCATACACATGTGCATCTCAGGCGGTACTGGCCTGACCAGCTGCTCCGGGCATCTCGCCACTCAAAGGTGCGAGGGTCTCAGGCGAAAGTGGCCAGACTACCATGGTCCTTCAAGTTGAGCAAGCAGGCGGGATGACAGATATGTACATCGTTAAAAAACGATAACGCCTTGTTGCCGTTTTCGTGGTTGTCGATCTGACATTGTCTTCCATTCCCTATCTTTTCCTTCCCTCATCCTTCATTTCCCGCTCCTTCGCCGCCAGCCCGAGCCGAGCCGAGCTGAACCGGCGGGCCGGCCGATCCGGCGGGCCGGTCGAGACAGGGGCGACGAGGGCGACGACGACGACGATGACGCCAGCGATGACGTCGACGATGACGATGAAAACGACGATGACTACGACGTCGGCTACGACGCTGGGGCGGGGAAGAGGAACATGAAGAGGATCAGGAAGAGGAGGGGGGGAGGAGGGGGAGGAGGAGGAGGAGGGGGAGAAGAGGGAGCGAAACATACGAGGAGGAGGAGGCTGAGAGGAGGAGGAGGAGCAGAGAGCACACAGAGGAGGAGGAGGAGGAACAGGAGGATAACGGGGAGGAGAAGGAGGGAGACGGAGAAAAGAAGGATGGATGAAAAGAAATAGTGGAAGGCTTCTGGGGGCGCCATTGAAGCGCATTGTTGGGAGCCCTGGTGTCATGTAGCGTTTTGGGACCTCGTGGGAGTCTTCTTGGGGCCCGTGTGGGTCCCTTTGAGGGCCCTGTTGGGATTCTCTTGGGTCGTCTCTGGGCCCTTTTGGGCCGTCCTGGGGCGTCTTGGAAGCATTTGGCCGTCGTTCGGGGCTCTCCTGGCGACGTCTTGGGGCCCTCTTGGGTGCCTCTTTGGGCGCTCTTGGGGCCCTCTTGGGCCCGTATTGGAGCCCTCTTGGGCTGTCTTGGGACTCTCTTGGATCGTTTTCGGGTTCATTGGGGGGCCTCTTGGGATATCTCGGGGCGATCTGTGGGGCCTCTTGGGCCGGTTCGGGCTGATGTTGGCCCGGACAAGGGAGAACCAGGAAAACTTTTGAAAACCATGCGAAAATCAATGACATTTCCCTCTTGGGGCCCTCTTGGGGAGCGTCTTGGAGGCCTCTTGGGGCGTTTCGGGGCCCCCTTGCACGGTTTTGGGCGGTCTCGGGGTCTCTTGGAGCGCTCTCGGGCCGTCTGGGGCGCCTCTGGGACCGCCCGGGAATCTCGAGGAAACCCGAAACTCGTTCGGGGGGGGCTCCGTCCAGGGTCTGTCCGGGGCCCCCGGCCATATAAAAGTATATAAATCGGTGTGTGTATATATCGGAGGTGAGGGGGTGAGATCGAAGTGGAACGGAGAGCCCCCCTACCGGGGAATCGATTTCGGTTTCGTGTTCGTGCGTGCCGTGCGTGCGGGCGAGGCGAAGCTGCGTGGGCGGGCCAGAAAAAGTCTCCTGTGGCTGAGGCGCGGCCGGACCAAATGATTCCCTTCCGGGCGGCCGGTGGCCCGCGGTGCCCCGCCGGTGCCCCGCGAAAGTCCCGTGTGGCCGAGGCGCGGCCGGACCAAATGACTCCCTTCCGGGCGGCCGGTGGCCCGCGGTGTCCCGCCGGTGTCCCGTTGGTGTCCCGCGGTGTCCCGCGGTGCCCCGCGGTGTCCCGCCGGTGTCCCGCGGTGTCCCGCGATGATGATGATGATGATGATGATGGTGATGATGATGATGATGATGATGATGGTGAGATGATGATGATGGTGACGGTGATGATGATGATGATGATGTTGCTGTTGATGATGATGACGCTGATGATGATGCTGATGATGATGATGATGGTGAGGACTATCATGATGATGATGGTATGATCATGGTGGTGTCCCGATGATGATGATGATGATGATGACGATGTCGATGATGATGATGATGACGATGATGATGATGCTGATGGTGTCCCAATGATGAGGATGATGATGATCATGATGATTATGTTTATGATCATGATGATGACGATGATGGTGTCCCGATGATGATGAGTATGATGATGCGATGTTGATGATGATCATTATGATGGTTCCCCTCTGATGATGATGTTGATGATGATGATGAGGTTGATGATGATTATGGCGTCCCGATGGTGATGATTATTTTGATGGTGATGATGATGATGATGTTGATGATGATGGCGTCCCGATGGTGGTGATGATGATGTTGATGATGTTGATGCTGATGTTGGGTATGATGACGGTGCCCCGATGATGGCGATGATGATGATGCTGATGATGATGATGATGATGATGTTGATGGTGATGATGATGCTGATGATGTCGATGATGAGGATGAGATGATGATGATGGGAGCTGCTCGCGGAGGCGGGCCAGGTGTGCAACCTGGAGCGGGCCCGCCGTGGTCTCCCGCTTCTGGGCGAGGCGGCTCGAGCGCCTGGAGGCGCCGCCGCGGTGGCGACGCCCGCGCCCGCCGTGGCCGCTGCTCTTGGGGGCCCCCGCCTCGTGGCAGCGGGGGGGGGCGCGGGCCCTCGCGGAGCCGCTCGTGGGCCACGACATCGGCGAGGAGTTCGCGCTACCTGCAGGGGCGGCGGTGCCGGGGACCCGAGCCCTCGCGGCGATCGACGGGGGCGTCGCCACGCTCGAACAGCTGGCCGAGGGGGTCGACATCGCTCGCTGGGCCCTGGCGCGCAGCAACTTCCTCTGCGACGACCCGAGGATCCTGGCGCGGGCCCCGACGGGGCGGCCCCTGGTCGACGCCGTGCGTTCGATGACGACCTGCGCACGGCAGGTGGAGGGCCTGCCCGCCTCTCCGTTGCTGGGGCCCGCCATCGGGGCCGAGTGGGTCGACTCGGTTGTCAGAGATGGCGCGGTCCATCTGACCGATCGGGCCAGCAATTGGCTGCGCGAGAGTGGGGTCAAGACTCACAGCTCGACCGCCCACGAGCACGCGATCCTCCACAGGGCCGTGCAGCTCCTGGCGACGGTGGACGGGCTCAACGTGAAGAACCTCATCGGCGTCGAGCTCCTCCTGAGGCGGATCACCTTGCATGAGGAGGCCGTGGCGGAGAATCCCGAGGCGCCGAGCTACGAGGGGTCGGACCGCTACCCGGGGATAAGCGAGCGCTCGGGAGGGGCCCAGATGGTGCCGTCTCTTCGGGCCCACGTCGCCATCGTGGTCAGCAAAGAGGCGGCGATTCTGATGGAGAAGCGAAAGGCACGGGAGGCCAGGGCTGCAGGCGCCGCGGCGGCGAAGGCCAAGGCAGACCCCGCGGCTTCCGCCAATAAATGAAGAAGGGGGCGGGGGCGGTGTCGCCAGTAGTCGCCCCCGTCTCTGATACGATGGCTGGCTTGAGGTCAGAGGGGGTCTCCTCCGACCGCAATTTTGGCGCTCGTCGTCCTGGGGCCTGGCCCCGTCGACGGCAAGAAGCTGCAGGGGATAAGTGTGGCCGTGGTCTCTCCCCCCCTGGCGTTCCTCGGGCTCAGCGCCCTGGCGCCAGCACGGGGAGGAAGGCTCGGCTCCACCTCAAGCGCTGGAACGCCGTCCAGTCGGCGGCGCAAGAGGCGGTCCACGGTCTGAACCTGCTCTTCGGGTGCGACCCGCAGGAGCTGTCGGGCCCGACGCAGCGCGATGGGACTGAGGCCTTGGGCGGTCGCAGTCCTTTGCATGGCGCAGTTCGCCAGCATCTGTTCTCCACCATCGCTTCGGGGATGCCCGATCATGCACAGATGGACCGCGCCTCTTTTCGTGAGTTGGCTGGTGTGAATGCGGATTACGAGATGCTTGCATGTGCGGTCGAGCCTTGCGACCCGACGAAGGTGTCCTTGCCAGATGGGCAGGTGTCGCCTGTCGTTTTGACTGAGTTTGTCTCTCCCGAGCTCGGCCGCAGCCTCGACCTTGAGAACATCCTGGCCGACGCGGATGTAGCCGAGTACCGTCTTCGCCACGAGCCCGTCGTGCCCTATGCGGATGTCAGGATCAGGAATGATGAAGAGGTTCGTCTTAAGTTCCTCAGGAGCCTGTATGATTGCGGGACCTTGGTTCTGCTGGGCCTCGAAGGGCAAGATCACTCCGTTCTTCGTGAAAAAGAAACTGGGCCGCCAGAGGCTCGCCCTGGACTGCCGCAGAGTCAACCAGCTGTTCCGTCACCCCCCCCCCTAAGCCTGAGATGAGTTCGGCCGAGAACATGCACGGGCTCGAGGCGCCAGACGAAGCGTCGCCAGTCTTCGTCGCCATTGGTGATACAAAGAATTGTTGTTTACCAGTGCGGGGTGCCGTCTGCGCTGAGCGAGTACTTCAGCTTCGAAGTCGTCGACGCGAGCCTCGCGAAAAAGTGGGGGGGCGACCTCGGACGTGTGGGGGGTCTCGCTGCCAGAGGGCGGGGAGGTCTTCCCGTGCTTGCTCGTGTTGCCGATGGGTTGGACCTGGTCTTTCTACATTGTGCAAGCTCTGCGTGCCGAGTTGCTTCGTGAGGCTGGTTTCGGCCAGGACTTGATCATGTCGAATGCGTGGCCTGCCCCCCCGCTGTCCGACGACCCAGTTGCCCTCCCCAATTGCGACAACCTCACCGTCTTCGGGATGTCCAGGGACCGCGTCGATCGGCGACTTCGTGAGCTCATCGGGGTGTTCGAGGGGAAGGGCTTCGTGCGTCACGAGATCCCCCGGGCCTCAACGTCTTCGGACATCCTGGGCACCGCCTTCGATGGGTTACGACGGACGGTCCGCGCGAGGCCCAAGCGGGCCTGGACTCTTCGGGGAGCTCTTCGGCACGCTGCTCGAGGAGGGGCTACCTCTGGCAGGGGGCAAGGTTCTGGAGCGCCTCCTGGGCCACTACGTCGCCGAGGGCCTCAACCTGCGGCCCGCGCTGCCGGTTTTACGGGCCTCCTACGTCTTCATTCGGGACTGCTTCTGGACCCCGAGGCCCCTGCGGGACTCCGTCTGCCGTGAGCTCCTGGTCTGCTCCAGTCGGGCCCCCCTGCTCTCAGGTTGCTTTGGGTGACCACGGTCTACTTCCGTGCTGGCGACAGACGCCTCGGGGAGCGGGTGGGGCGTGACGGAGGCTGCCTTCGACAGAGAGGAGGTGGGGGGTATCGGGAGGTGGAACGAGCGCGGGAGGTACGAGCGTCTGCCCCCGTCGGAGCGGGCGCCTCGTCGTCGCGCACTGGCGGCCGAGCTCGACCCCCTCGTCGACCCTGCGACGTCCGACGCTGGCCCCTGGGACCTCGACGAGCTCGGCGGGGCCCCCTCGGAGTTCGCCCGGCGGCCCCGCACTGGCTTCCCCGAGTTTCCGAAGGCCGTGATCATGGGGCGTTCCTGGAAGTGCTGGAGGGCTGGGAGGTACAGGTTTGAGGAGCCGATCGTGAACACGGAAGGTGGGGCTGTCATCAAGGGTATGAGCCTAAAACTTCGGGACCCCAGCCAACACCACAAGAGGCGCCTCGTCCTTGTCGACAACTTCGGTGTAGCCCTTTGTTTCTCAAGAGGGCGCGCGGCGTCCTTCGGGCTTCTGCAGTTGGTCCGCCGTTTGGCTGCCCTCTCGATTGCGACGGGTGCATGGGTGGCGCTCCGCTGGATCCCGAGCGAGTGCAGCCCCGCCGACGAGCCGCCCCGCCTCTTCGAGAAGCGCAGGGAGGCGCGGGCTTCGCTGCATGAAGCGCCTGCGGCGGGAGCAAAGCTTGGCGGCCCGTCAAGCAGCCGCCGCGCCATCGACTTCCTTCGGAGCCGCTGGAACCCGCCAGAGGGAAAGCGAGCGGGCCGCCCCGCCCGCGCCCCCGTCCGACGGCAGGGCGCCACCAGGCGGAGGCCCGCCGCGGCCCGATCTCCTGCCGCGCGGCCGCCGCCCCCGAGTCTTGGGCGGCGGGCGCAGGACGGGGGGCTAAGTGCCTGCGAGCTCGCGAGGGTCGGCACCATGGGCTCGGCCGCCAACCAGTACTTCGAGAACCTGTTCCTCGAGCGGCAGCGGCGCCGAGGCAGAACCACCGACAACCGCGACGAGATCGAGGTGAACCTGCTGGACTACCTCGACGAGCTTCTGGCCGACAACGTGAAGCTCACCCACGCCGAGAAGACCGCGTGCGGCCTGCTGTACAGCACCCCCCCTGGAAAAGTACGGGGCTGCCCTCGGCTCCAACGGGCGCTCAAGGGATACCGAAAACGACTCCCACCTACCAGCAGGGTGCCGTTGCCGATCGAAGTGAAGTTGGGCATCTGCGCCCTGCTGCTCTACGACGGTGAGCGGCCCACGGCCCTCTACGTCGAGGCCGTGTTCTCGGGATCCTTCCGTCCTGGGGAGCTCCTCCGCGCGAAGGTGGGCGATCTGGTGAAGCCAGGGGCATCAGAGGAGGCTGCGCTGAAGTGTTGGTCTTTGATCGTGGCGCCTGAAGATCGTCTGCAGCCGTCAAAAACCAGACCTTCGACGACGCCGTCATCTTCGACCACCCCGAGTGGCTGGGCGAAGCGCTGGGTTCCTGGGCTGCACGCGCAGCGGACGACCGTGAGCTTTTCCCGCTGGAGGCCGTTAGGGTCGCCCGCCTTTTCAAGGCTGCCGCCGCCAGACTGGGCGTCGAGGCGCCCTTGTATCAACTGCGCCACGGCGGTGCCTCGGATGATCTCCTGAAGAGGCGCCGCACTGTGAGTGAGATTCAGTCGCGCGTCAGAGTTAAATGTCTTGATACGCTTCGTCGTTCTGCTAAACCAGGCAAGATTCAGCAAGCTCTCAATCGGTTGCAGCCAGCTAGCCGTCAGCATTGTGAATGGGCCCGCTGCAACTTGAAAGGCCTTTTCTGTGGCTCCGTCCGCCCGTGGCGGCTCTGATATGCCACTCTCGCTCTCTTCGTTTTGTCTGCCGCCCTAACCCCGCCACCACCCGTGCACATCCCTGTTGTGGGTCTTGCTATGGGAGTGCAATTCAGTTCGAATGTGTTGGCCTGACCTGTGTGTGCACGATGTTTCGCGACACGCATTTTGAATTGCAGACTGAGCTGGCAGTGTCCAACACTCCGTTGCTAGGAAAACATTCAGCTGTCTCCGACACCCCCGCCAGGCGCCCCTCCAGGAATCATATAGCTGCTTGCTGGTGGTTGATTCCTCTGTGGGTTGAGCGTCGTGAGGGTGTGTTTCTGCTCTGCAGTCTTTTCTGGCTCCCTCTACCCACCCTTTTACCTATGGGGAGTGCAAGTCAGTTCGAATGTTTTGGCCTGACCTGTGTGTGCACGATGTTTTGCGACACGCATTTTGAATTCCAGGCTGAGCTGGCAGTGTCCAACACCCCCGTTGCTAGGAAAACATTCAGCTGTCTCCGACACCCCCGCCAGACGCCCCCCCAGGAATCAAGAATCTGATTGGGGTTTTCTCCGGTATCATTGCATGGGAAATCGAAGTTTAACTTATGGAAAGAGGGGCCTCGTTTCTTATTTAGGGTTCCTTAGGTCAACGCCCCGACTGTATCAATCTTGCCCGCGGGGGGGGGGGCCTCGGGAGCCCCGGCTTCGAGGCTCGAGGCCCTCGGGCGGCGTTGGCGCTGCCCGGCGGCCCTCCGGCTTCGGGGGGCGCTCCGGCGACGGCCCCCCCTCGCCGAGGGCGTTTTTTCCGGGGGGGCGCCCCGCGTCGCCCCGAGGCGCGGCCGCCAGTGAGCGGAGCTATAGGGTCCAGAAGCCCCCTGCTTGGCATCGCTCGGACGCGCGCACGTTTCCTTCGCCGAGGGCCCTCGAGGAGCATCCTTGATCACTTGGCGAAGCAACCGCGCACGAAACCTAACAAAAACACAGGGAATGGACGTCCGAGCGATGGCCAGCCTGGCGCCCGAGAGGGGGCGGGCCTTCTCAGAAGGCTCGGAGATCCCCCGGCCCTCCGAGAAGTTCTCCTTCTCATTTCCCCCCTGGCGCTCGCTGTCGATGCGCGGCGTTTTCAGTTCCTTCGACCCTCCCGCGCCATGTCTTCTGAGAGGTTGTTTTGAGCTTTTTTCCCGAGGACGCAGAAGAGACTCCTCGGAATGCGCGAGGGCTTATGAGAAGCCCCGCCGCCTTCTGAAAAGGCATTATCCCGTTCGTTTCCCCGCCTCGCTCGCTGTCGACGTGCGACGTTTCAGCTCCTTCGCGATTTTGCCGATGCCATGTCCCATGCACCCGCCCAGCCTTATCCCGCAATGTTGGCGCTTCGGCGTCCTCTCCGCTACGGTCGAACCTGATTAGTATGTCGATCCTGCCAAATCCAGGGTGCCCTTATACCCCTGCACTTCTGTGGCAATATGGCCCTCGAAAGGATCTTGAGATTATTGTGTCCTTGCGTGTGTTCTCTCCCGTCGAACTCGACTGTGCCCGTTCATGGCACCAAGTGCACAGAGAGGGCGATGCTCCGTAGACGCGCTAACTGCAACGTAGGCAACGGCGATGAATGTTTCGCCATGGTAGGTGGGACTGGTTCGCGGCCAAACCAATTGTAGGTTTCCTACAGTTCCCTGCGTCGTTTTCGCTCGATATATCCGCACATCTGAAATTTAGGAAAGTGTGCTTCGTGACTTCCTCCCATTTGTTCTGCGCGAGCTCAGTGTCACAAGAACCATATTCCCAACATCGCCGTTAACCAACATCGCCGTTGGCACAACGTCTGCCCGAGCTCCGCCACCTTCGGAACGCCAGAGTCGGCGTTTCGAAAAGGGCGCGCCAGTTCGGCCAGGTCCCGGCGTCGTCGTCGTCGTTCTCTCTATATTCCTCCTCGCCTCTCCTCCTCCTCCTCGTCGTCCTTCTCTTCCTCCTCCCCCTCCTCCTCCTAGCCGTTTCGGGGCGAGCCTGGTGCTCGCTCTTGCGGGAGCAAGCTTCGGAGCGGCGTGCCCCCGCGGGCCGATGGCGAATGGCGTTGCAGGTGGCACGCGCGGAGCCAGCCAGGGTGGCGACCCCTGGACGCGTCGTGCGTGCGCTGCTGGCTACAGCAACATGGCCTGGCGCACGGAGTGCAGGCTCTGCAAGGCGGCGCGGCCGCCGCGCGGCGCTGGCACGATCGGCGAGGCCATCGACAAGGCCAAGGCGAAGGCCAATGCCAACGGGAAGGCGAAGGCCGAGGCGAAGCGCGTGCGCTTTGCCTCGGATGTACCTGGCCCTGCTGCCGCCGCGGCCGCGCCGGCGCCGTGGGCGCTGGGCGCGGCCGAGCAGGCGGCTGAGGAGCAGCCCAGCGGCAGCGGTGGCCAGGACGAGGAGGTTCGCCAGGCCCTCCTCCGCCACTTTGGCCCCAGGGAAGGCTGGTCGGCGGCCCTGGTCCAGGACTTCGGGGCCTTGGTGCCTGTGGTGGACGCGCCGCCGCCAGCGAAGCCCTTGGCCGAGCTGTCACTCCAGGCCCTCCTGGCCAGGGAGGCGAAGATCAAGGGCCAGGTCGGGCGCGCGGAGATCGCGCTGGCGGCCGTCAAGGAGGAGCAGGCGGCCGTCGCGGTCCGCGTGGCGGAGCAGGCTGACGTCCTCCAGAAGCGGCGCGACCAGCTGGAGGAGGTGGCCGAGGCTGTGCGCGCCAGGAAGCGCGCCGACCTGGCGCAGCACACGAGGCAGTCGCCCATGGAGGAGGGCGAGCCTGAGGAGGCCGCGGGCTGCCTGGGCAAGGCGCTGCTCAAGGGCCTCGAGGGCCTCGAGGCTGAGCGGGGGCGGGTTCTCTTGCTCGGGGAGGAGGGCGGCGCCCTGCTCGCGATGGCCGCCGAGGCCCGCAGCCTCGTGGAGAAGCTCGCCGCCGCCGACGCCCGTGCTCGCGAGGCAGCGGCGGCCGAGCGGGCCCGCGCGACTACAGCCGCAGCTGAGCGGGCCGCCGCGGCGCAGGAGGCCGCTCCCGAGGCCGATGGCAGTGTTGATGGCGCTGCTGGTCCTCATGGGGACCGCAAGCGCGTCGGCGACCTCGACCTCGGCCCCGAGCTCGTCGGGCTTGACGCCGTGTTCGACGAGCTGGGCATGGAGGGCGAGCAGCAGCGCGCTGCCTGACGCGCAGCGCTGGCCAAGCGCCAGCGGGTGGCAGGCCCCGCCTCAGGGTAGCCGCCCGCTGGCGGCGGACGTGGTGGAGCTGGTGTCGGCCAACACCACCGCGCGGGGCTCGGCGCAGTCGCTGGTCGAGTGGCTGCGCGATGAGGTGGGGCGGCTGCCTGCGGTGCTCTGCCTCCAGGAGCACCGCCTCAAAGGCAAGCAGGCGGTGGCCCGCGCTGCGGGCTGGATGCAGGCGCGCGGCTTCAGCTGGCACGGCCAGGCAGCGCTGCCGACGGGCCCAGGGCCGCTGGAGAGCTCGGGAGGAGTGGCAGTGGCCACTCTGCGGCCGTCGGCGGCCGCCGCCGCGCCTGGGCCCCCTGCCCATCGGTTCCAGGTGTGCGAGGTGAACCTGGGGTTCAGGGAGCCGTGCCGCTTCATCTCGGCCTACTTCATCACGAAGTTAGGCAGGGCGAAGGAGAACATCGGGCTCCTGGCGGCGCTGCACGAGTTCGTGGGGCAGCTGGAGTCGCCGTGGATCGTGATGGGCGACTGGAACATGGAGCCCGAGGACGTCCGCGAGTGGGCGCGCAGCGCTGGCGGTGCGCTCGTCGCCCCAGAGGAGCCGACCTGCGGCTCGAAGGTCTTCGACTTCGCGGTCGCCAGCAAGGTCCTCACGGGCTTTGTGGATGCGGCCGAGGTGCTGTTGAGGGCGCCGACGAAGGACCACGTGCCGTTCAAGGTGGTGCTTCGCGGCGTGGGGCCAGCGGCGAAGGTGCAGCGGCCGCTCTTCCCTGCCGCCTTCCCATTGCCGCTGCCGCCGCCAGTGCGGCCAGCGCCGCTCGAGCGTGCCTTCCCGGCCTGGAGCCCTGGCGGTGGGCAGTCGCTCAAGGTGGGCTGCCAGGAGTGGTTCGAGGCGGTGGGGGCTTACCTGATCGACCTCCGCGAGATCGTGCCGCCCAGCCGCTGGAAAGGGCGCGCTGGCGGGCTGCGCACGCAGAGGGTCGAGATGGAGGTGGCCTGGAAGCAGGACCTCAGGAGGAGCGTCGGCGCTGCCTGCAGACGCTGGAGGTCATTCGCGGCGGCATGCGCCCGCTGGCGCGCGCTGCAGGAGGCGGCGCCAGGAGGTCGCTGCTGGGCGCCGCTGCGCAAGCAGCGCGAGGTGCTGATGGCGTTCGAGCTCGAGTGGCCTGAGGAAGGCCCGCTGGCTGGGCTGTCGGTGGCCCGCGTGGTGGGCTTGCTCAGCTCCTCATCGTGCCAGCTGACGGTGCAATTCGTCCAGGAGGAGGCGAGGCGGCGCTGGAGGCTGGACAAGCAGCAGAAGGCCGCGGAGTGGCGCGCCTGGGCCCAGGCCGCGGCCACCGAGAAGGGCGGCTCGGCGGCCTACCGCTTCATCAAGCAGGTCGCGGTGGTGCCCACTGTGGTGCTCGCGGGCGCGGACGGTGACGACGACCCGCGCATGCCCGTAGCGGGCGAGGCCGCAGTGGCTGCGCTGCTGGAGGCGCGGCAGCCGCTCTGGATCAAGCCGTCGCGTGCAGGCCAGGCGGCGCCCGAGGACTGGGACAGCCATGAGTCGGAGCTGCCGCCGCTGGAGCTCGAGGACCTCGAGCGGGTCTTGGGCACCTACCGCGAGTCGTGCGGCATTGGGTGGGATAGGTTCCACCCGAAGCAGCTGCTGCGCCTCCCGCGGTCCTACAGGCAGCGCTTCCTGGAGCTCCTCATGGCCTGGGAGCGGAAGCCTTCGCGGGGGGCGCTGTGGCAGCTGATCGTGGTGTTCATCCCCAAGGCTGCTGGCGGCCAGCGGCCGATCGGCCTCACGGCCATCTGGCTGAGGGTCTGGAGCAGGATGCGGCAGCCGTTGGTGGCCCGCTGGGAGGTCTCGTTGAAGAACCCTGCCTTCTGGGGCACGTCGGAGTGCCCGTGCGAGCGCGCGGGGGTGGTGCACAACCTCCTGGCGGCCTTTGCTCGCAGCAGGGGCCTCTCGGCGGCCACGGGTGTCACCGACCTGGCGCGGTTCTACGAGCACGTCAGCCATGAGGAGCTGCGCGTGCAGGCGGCCGCCGCGGAGTTCCCGCTCGCGCTGCTGCAGTGCTACTGCGTGTCGTACCGCACGCAGCGCCGCGTGTCTTGGTGCGGCTCGGTCTCCAAGCCGTTCGAGGCGAACGGCACCATTGTGGCGGGCTGCAGTGGTGCGGTCGGGGCGGCCAAGCTGCTGGTGCACACCCTCTTCGTGAAGATTGTGCGCGAGAGCCCTATGGCTCGCCTGCAGAACGTCGTCGACGACGTGCTGCTGCAGGCGGTCGGCGGCAGGGCTCAGGTGGTGCAGCAGCTCCCCAGGGCCATGGCTGCCCTCACAGAGGGCCTGGTCGCCAAGGGGCTGGTCATCTCGGAGGCGAAGACGGGCTACCTAGCGAACAGCGAGGACCTCGGCGACGCGCTGGACGGCTGCTGGGCGCACGGGCCGCTGGCCCGCTGGACTGGCGCCCGCTGCCTTGGTGGCGACGCCGCCGATGGGCGCTGGAGGCGCGTGCGCGAGCAGGACGCTCGGCTCGGCCGCGCGGCGGCGGTCAGTGCGCGGGCGCGCCTGCTGCGCAGTGTTGGTGCGCAGATGGGCCACATCCAGAGAGGCAGCCCCGCGGCCACCGCCGTCTGGGGCTCCGCGGTGACGGGCCTCGCCTGTGGGAAGCTGCACGGCCTGCGGGTCGCCGCCATGCGCGCGGAGGGCAGGCTGCCCATGGGCGCCAGCGTCGGCCTGCGGCTGCGGGCGCTGCACGGCGCTGCCTACCGCGACCCCTTCGTGGTGCATGCGGTGGAGGTGGCGCGCTCCTGGGGCATGACGCTGGAGACGGGCCTGCCCAGCGCCGCGGTGGTGCAGGAGTGCTGGCTCGGGGCGCAAGGCTTGCTCGACCTTCGCCGCCCCTGGGGGCAGTGCCGCGACCCTGCGCAGGCATGTGTGCTGGCGTTGCGGCGGGTCGGCATCGAGATGGTGGCCTACAATGCCGTCATCGACTGGCAGGCGCGCGTCTTCTCGCTGGAGTTCTACTCGCCTGGCATGCTGGTGCAGGTGGTGCGCGAGTCGGCGATGCTGGCCTCGGACGCGCTCGCGCTGAAGCGGCTGCGCGGGCCTGGCGCCTGGGCATGGCCTGTGCACTGGAAGGGGCTGGTGCGCCTCCTCCACGCGCGCCGCCGCCCCGAGGGGCAGGCCGACGCCGAGGCCGCCGATGGCGCTGGCCGCCTGGCGCCTGCGCTGCCGCCGCCGCACTGGCAGGCCCGCCACAGGCGAGCGCTCGTGGCGGTCCTCGGCGGCCCCCACTGGCCGCAGGAGCGCCTCTGGAAGGAGGGCAAGGCGCGCGACGGCCTCTGCCGCCTCTGCGGTGGCCGAGGCACGCTGTGGCACAGGGCCTTCGAGTGCGACGCCTGGCTGCCTCTGCGGCGGGACGCGTGCTCGCCTGAGCTGCTGGAGGGGGCGCGGCTGGTGGCGCAGCGCGGGGGCGCCGCGGCGGAGCTCTTCGCGCGTGCGCTGTGCCCCGGCCCCGCCCTTGCCTTCCCCGCGGCGGCCGACGCCGCGCTCGCGGCCCCGCGCTGGTTCGGCGTGCCGCCTGGCTCGAAGTTCGCGGGCAAGGTCTTCGTGGGCGGCAGCGCCAGGTTTCCTGCGCTGCGCGGGGCCCGCCGCGCAGGCTGGGCGGTGGTGCAGATCGGCCTCGGCGGGGAGGTCATCGGCGGGATGCACGGCATCGTCCCGCGGGCGTACGGGCCCGAGCAGGAGGCCAGGGACGGCGAGGACTACGCGTTCCACATGCTGGCCCAGTTCTGGCTGCCGTCGGCCGACGGCTCGGGCCTCGAGGTCTTCTGCGACTGCGCGGGCACGGTCGGCTTGGCGCTCTCGCAGGGCAAGGCCCTCGCGCCGCTGCAGGCGCGCCGCCACCTGTGGCAGGGGTGGTGGGCGGGGCCGGGCCCGTCGGCCACGGTGCGCAAGGTCAAGGCGCACAAGGTGCTCGCTGCAGCGGCCTCCTGGGAGGATGAGCTCCTGATCAGGGGCAACAGGGCAGCTGACCTGTGGGCCAAGAGAGGCGCCGCCTTGTGGCCGATCGACGAGGAGCGGGTCTGGTTCCTCCAGGCATGCGCCTGGCGCGTGGAGGAGCTCGGGCGCTGGGTCGGCAAGCTGGCCGCCACCATGGTGGACCGCGAGCAGCTGGACTCGGACGGGGTGGTGGGCACGGCCGACCTCGTCTACGACATCCCGCAGGCGGCGCTGGACGCGGCGGAGCTGGCCGACGCGGGGGTGGCGGCGCTGGCGCTCGAGGCCGACCTCGAGCTCGGCCAGGCGCCTGGCGCTGCTGCTGGGGCCGCTGCTGGCGTGGAGCTCGGCCAGGCGCCCGCCGCTGCCGCTGGGGCCGCTGCCGACGAGCTTGCGGATGCAGCTGTGGCCGCTCCCGAGCTGAAGGCTGCGGTAGCTGGAGCTGGAGTGGCGCGGGTGGTGCGCGGGCACTGCATCGTCGTCTCGCGCCTCGAGAACGGCGATGGGGCCATGGCCTGGTGCCTGAAGTGCGGCTGCTGCTTCTGGAAGCGGTCCCCTCCAGCTGGGACAGGCCTGCTGGGCAGCTGCAAGGGGCGGCCTGCCCCAGGCGAGAGGGCGGCGGAGGCGCGGCGGCTCCTGATGCGCCTCCAGGAGCCGAAGAGCAGGGCTTGGCTCTTGGCTCCTCAGCCGCCCACGGAGGAGGAGCAGGCGCGGCTCGCGGCGGTGCTCCACGGCGACGCAGGCGCTGAGGACGGCGCTGGAGCTCCCGCTGGAGCAGGGCGGCCGCCGCGCTGGGGGCTGCGGCCCGCCACGGCTGACGCCTGGCAGGCGGCCGAGCTCCACGGCTTCGCCTCGCCCGCCGCCGCTGCTCGCTGGGCGCGGGCGCGCGTGGCGGCGGGCAGGGAGTCGCCCTTCGGCGACGGCGACGGCGCGGCCTGACTGCTGCGCTGACGGCACCTGGTTTAGCCCGCCGGCAGGGCGCCAGGGGGCCGAACATAAAAATGGCCTCTCCTTCCTCTCCTCCTCCTTCTCCTCCTCCTCCTTCTCCTCCTCCTCCTCCTCCTCCTCGCTCTTCCTCTCCTCCTTGCTCCTCCTCTCCTCCCCTCCTCCTCCTCCTCCGCCTCCTCCTCCTCCTCCTCCTCCTCCTCCTCCTCCTCCTCCTCGCTTCTCCTCCCTCTCCCCATCCTCCTCGTCCCCCTCGCAGATCCAGGGGCCCCTGGGAAAGGCCAGAGACTCGCAGTCCCCGCTGTCGCTTCTCTGGACTCCGCTGACATCAGGGCATTATTCCCCCCGCGCGCCTCTGTGCACTCGTGCTTGTTCATGGTCTTGGATGTTCGGGGGCGTCTTGGAGGAAGAGGAATGGGGTTATAATGAGGACTTTGGGAATGGGAGGGGGGGAAACAGGATATGCATAAGCAGGATGGGGCAGGAGCAGGAGAAGGAGGAGGAGGAGGAGGAGGAGGAGGAGGACGAATACGAGACGCAGGACAGGAGGGGGTGCGGTGGGCATGTGGGACAGTATTTGCGGATATGCGGTGCACCTTGAGATTTTTGGGTTGTATTTTGCGGCTTCTCGGGAGCTCATCTGGGGCCCCTGGCGGCCGCATGGAAACCATGACCGAAACTATTTGGCAGCGAAAGGGGCGACAGTCGAGTCACCCAGAGAAGATTTCTTTTTTTCGGGGATGTGATTAGGGTACACGCCGGTCGTTGAAATTAGATATACCTGGACTCAATCACCGAGTGATGTTTTCTTTTCCTTCCTCTTGAAGAAGCGGGCGGAAGCCCAAGGTAATTCCAACGCCTTCCTACTTCATGTTTCTACCCAGTTCTTCCGACCGACGGGTACGCGGGACTGGACTGGCATGGTTTTAGACGGAAAATGAGAGTCATAGCGTCTTCAGCGCCACTACTTCCTCTCTGCTCATTACTGCTGGATTTGCTCGTTCGATCAGACCGCCGCTTCTGCCGCAACCACAGATGTGATCGTTAGGTAAGCTTACGAATGTGACATTCCCGCCACTTCGCCTCCTCCCCGCCCAATCTTGTGGGCTGATGGACGGATCGGCGCTGGCTGCTGTGCGCTCACCATGGGCGGTGTGGGTGCCGTTCTGCACGCTGGCTGCACGTTGCTGAGCAGGTGCTGCCCGAGCGGCACCCCCCAACATGTTGGAGCCCAACGGGTGCTGCGCGCTGGCGGCCATGCGGCCACAATGCCAGGGCTCGCCCGCGTGCACGTGCCCACGATCCCGCATGTCAGCCGCAGGTCGGATGAACTGCCGAGCGCTCGTAAAAGCACGCAGGCGTACGAGGGTGCCGCATGGTTGATGGCGGCCTGCCGGGGCGTGGGGGGGGAGTTCGCGTCAGCGCCGGGTGGCTTTCGGGACCCACGCCCCGTGGTTCGGCGGCCTGCCGAGGGGGGGCGGGGGGGGGAACACCTGTATTTTGCAGCTCGCGGCAGCGCCGGGTTGTCTTCAGGACCCACGCCCCTGTGTTACGGCGGCGCGCCGAGGGAGGCTCTTCGGAAGGCCAGATGCCTCCCAAGAGCCTCCCGAGGAGGCCCGGCCGTCTGCATTTCCCTCTTCGCGGGTCAAGCAGGGTGGCACACGGAGGGGGAGCAGTCCAGGCCTCGGCAGAGGTTGGCGAACGCTCGTGCCGCACTCGTCCGTCGACGCCTCCCCCCCGAAAAACCAGGTGGGCGGTGGGTCGGGTGAGCTGCACACCGACCGCAGTCTCCCCCGCGCGTGCCAGCTTCGAGTTTTGGGGGGTGGGGGGGCGGGGGGAGTGTCAACGAGTGGTTCCCCCCTGCCGCCTCACACGCGCGGAAAGCCTCTGACGGGTTGGCGAGCTGGTGCCGTCGGCCGTGGGCCCGCGGGGGAAAACACTCTTCCTGTCGGCGGCCAGGCAGAGGTTCACTGCGCTGGCGGAGGGCCAGCTATACGGGGGCACCGCTGTAGCCAATTGTGCCACAATGCAGGAGGCTGGAAAAGGAGGTGCAGGACGGGCGGCCGAAGGAGGAGGGGAGGAGAGGGGGCCGCGCGGGGGGACGGGTCACGGGGGGCCCCTGCACGGTGAGCCGCCGGTGGCCGGGCGAGCTCAGACAATACGTCTGCACGGGCGGGGGGGAGCCCTGCGGCGAGGTCCCCGCGCCGACGTGCGCTGGTGCGCGCCTCCCCCGGAAGTTTTCCGTGGCGTTCTCCTCCAAAGCGATCCTGAGGCGAGGAGGAAGACGAGGAGGAGGACGAGGAGGGCGAGGAGGGGGAGGAGGAGGAGGAGGAGGAGGAGGAGGAGGAGGAGGAGGACATTCCTTCTCCCGAGCTCCTCCTCCTCCTCCTCCTCTCCTCCTCCTCCTCCTCCTCCTTCTCCTCCATCCTCCTCCTCCTCCTCCTTCTCCACCTCCTCCTCCTCCTCCTCCTCCCCCTCCTCATCCTCCTCCTCCTCCTCCTCCTCCTCCTCCTCCTCCTCCTCCACCTCCCTCCTCCTCCTCCTACCTCCTCCTCCTCCCTCCTCCCTCCTCCCTCCTCCTCCCCCCTCCCTCCCTCTCCTCCCTCCCTCCCTCCTCCCACCTCACTCCCTCCCTCCCTGCCCTCCGTCGCCCCCGGGGCGCCGCGCCCGCCCCCTGGCGTTTCCCCCAGTGAGAGGGGGGGCCGAGCCCAGGCGCGCCCGCGCCGCTTCCCGCACCCCGTGCCCGACGTTCGAGGCCTCCCAGATGGGCTCGGAGTAGGTTTCAGTCGGGCCTGTCCCTCTACAGGGGGAATATTCAAACATATTTTAGAAAATAGTCTGGGGACTTTTTTTTTTTAGTATGTTTTGGCCATTTGGGAGTATTTTGGGGGTGTTTTTGATTTTTCGCCCAAAATCTCCCGGTAGGGGGACACGCCCGACTCAAAGAGTAGGTGGGGTCGGAGCATCGCGCCGCATCGCCGATGCATCGCCGATGCGGCTCGATGTGCAGCCCGATTTGCTTCACATCGACGTCGCCGATGCATCGCCGACGTCGACGATGCATCGCCGGTGCATCGCCGATGCATCGCCGATGCATCGCCGATGTATTGGCGATGTGGCGCGATCCTCCGACCCCATCTGCTCGGACCTCATCTAGGAGGCCTCTAGACGTACCTTGCCAGAGGGTGCCAATCGGTTTCGACTGCGCGTAAGAGTGGCCCTTCGCCGTAGCGACCCTCGGTGCGGGCTCAATGGCCCCATGGAGGGGGCCGAGCCCACGCGGTTTTCCCACCAGTTCCCACACCCCCTGCCCGGCGTACCTTGCCAGAGGATGTTGATCGGTTTCGACCGCACGTAAGAGTGACCTTTCGCCGAAGCGACCTTTGGTGCAGGCTCCACGGGGTCCCCAGATGGCTGAACTCGATGCGATAGCAGCGGCTCGCGCGCTCCAGGTTTGGCCTCCCCGCGGCCCCCGAGAGTCGCGCGCCAAAGGTCATGCTTGCCCAGGGTCACTCTTGCGTGTAGCCGACGGTTGCGAGTGGCTTCTCTTGGCTCTGTCGATCGTTGGCCGTGCGGCCGTCGTTTGTCGCATCCACCGCCTGAGTCTGACAGGCGGGGACTCCGCGCAGGGTTGGAGACCCTCGGTGCGAGGAGCAAGAGGTGGTCTTGCTCCCCCTCTTCTGCCCTCCTAACCCCCTCGAGTCCTCTGCCCCTCGTCCTTCTCCTCCACCTCCTCCCCAGCGGCTTCCAACTCTTCAGGGGAGTCAGAAGAACAGGCCTAGCAGCGAAGGGCAGCAAATCTAGAATGGACGTCGAAACGTCGGTTTCTTGCTCAAGGTAGTCGGTTGGGTGTGCAAGGTTTTCGGATGGTGGAGGAGGAAGAGGAGGAGGAGGTGGAGGTGGAGGAGGAGAGAGGAGGAGGAGGAGGAGGAGGAGGAGGAGGGTCGAGGAGGAGGAGGAGGAGGAGGAGGAGAGGATGAGGAGGAGGAGGAGGAGGAGGAGGAGGAAGAGAGGAAGGAGGAGGAGGAGAGGAGGAGGAGGAGGAGGAGAGGGCGGAAGGAGGAGGAGGAGGAGAGGACGAGAGGAGGGAGGAGGAGGAGTAGGAGGAGGAGGAGGAGGAGGAGAGGAGGAGGAGGAGGAGGAGGAGGAGGAGGATGAGGAGGAGGAGTCGGAGTAGGAGGGAGGATGGGGAGGAGGAGAGGAGGAAGGAGAGCAGGAGGAGGCGGCGGGAAGGTGGCCTGGATGCTGCGTGGGGCAGGTCGGGGATGGAAGGACGGGCCGGCTGTGCGGGGTCGGTCGGCAGTTGCTGAGGCAGGCTTCTGTCGTTGTGGGTGTGTGGTGCTCCCCGACGTCTTGCCTTCGCGTTCTCTTCAATTTCTGTACGCGTGTTGTCTGTTGTTCTTCTGTCTGCTCCGCCCTTTCTTCACTTTTTTTCTCTCTTCGCTGTCTGCTTTTGCGTCTATCTTCATCTTTGGTTGATGTTCGTTCCTGCTGTACTGCTTGCTTTAGTCCTTAATCGGCGCCTGCCCCACAGAAGGTTGGCCTGCTCCACCGAGATGGGGGGGCCCGCCTCGTACCTGGAGGTGGGTGTGCCGTGGTTTCGCGTGGTGTGCCCGCCCGTGTGCGCCGTGCGCGAGCGTGGCCGCCCCGACGGCGCCGCGTGGGCGCCTCGGGCGCTGGGCGGACGTGCCGAGGCTTCGCCGGGTGCTCGCCTCGAGGGCGCCGGGTGGGTGTTTGGTGTTTTGGGCGCCGGGTGGGCGAGCCGAGGTGTCGCCCGTGAGCGCCTCGAGGGCGCCTCGTGCGGAGGGCTGCCGCACAGAGGTTCCGCCACGTAGCTTTTTGCCACGAGAGAGAGGTGGCAGCGAGGCACACCGACAGGTTTTACGCAACTGCGTGTGAGAGAGTTGCTGTTTGCTGCTGGTCTGGGGATCCAGCTCTGGGCGTTTATACACCATCACGCCTAGCAAACTCCTGGGCCGAAATGACCTTGCGCC